TGTTCAGAGAACTTTTCCCTATCTTTTAACATAGGATAAGGATATTTACAGTGTGTATACTAGTACCTATATTATTATAAGGTGAATTCTTGAGCACTGTGCACAGGAAAAATGTACCTCATGTAACTGTGAAGTTCACGTAAAAAGTATACAAAATATCATAAAGCAACAAAATTTTAATCATTAATTTCAGATGAAATAAACTGTGTTCAAAGTGATATTCGCGTAAAATTCACGTGATATATTTCTCCTGTAAAATCGAACTCGAATCAACTGAGTATCCTATTATTAAAGACAATCTTGATTTTAAAAAATGCAAGTCAACAAAAATTAACCAATGGTCAGCAGATTAATGATTAGGTTTCCATCCCTGCTGGAGGTTTCGATTGTTAATTCAGGTTAAAAATTTTTCACTTGAAAAAAACTCACTAACACATACATATTCATACAAGTAAAATACTTACAAGTACATATGCATCGCGCCGCTGAACACTGGAAGTGGTGAAGTCAGAAAAGAGTATCATTTGTGACGGGTTGCAGTACGTAGTTGATGGATTTCTAAAATTATCAATCTAATGTTTTTTTAGATGGTTTGTGAAAAAAAAGATAGCTCGTATACGATCTTACGATCTAAGGCTGCTTTTAGTGTGTTTCATTGTACCAGTCAAGTTTCAGATGCTGCAATTTTAGTTGAAAAATGACCAAGTTAATGCTTTTGGAGCAGGTTAAAATTTTTGGAGCAGGTTAAATTTTTTGGAACAGGTCTCATTGCCAAGTAACTATAAGCCCTATATTGACCAAACTTGCATGGATAATACATCTAAGGATATGCACACTGCCACGCTTGCTTCGGAAGCTGGATTTGCCCTACATTTTCCGGATGAATGACCAGGTTAAAGTTTTTGAAGCAGGTCTTATTTTCATGTAACTATAAGCTCTATATTGACCAAACTTGCATGGATGATACATCTAAGGATGCACACTACCACCCTTGCTTTGGTTGCTGGATCTGACCTACAGTTTCCGGTTGAGTGACCAGGTTAAAGTTTTTGGAGGAGGTGTCATATACAAGTAACTTTAAGCCATATGTTGACCAAACTTGCATGGATGATACATCTAAAGATGCACACTAGCAGGCTTGCTTCGGATGCTGGATTTGACCTACATTTTCCAGATGAGTGACCAGGTTAAAGTAAACTATAAGGGCTATCTGAACCAAACTTGCAAGGATGAGGCATCACGGGATGAACACTCTCAAACGTGCTCCAGATGCTGGATGTGACTTACATTTTCTGGATGAGTGACTAGTTTAAAGTTTTTAGGGAAGTCCACTCCCAAGTAACTGCAAGTCCTATCGGACCAAAATTGCATAAATGTTACATGTAGGGATGTACACTACTAGATTATTAATTTGGGACTTCGTCTTACTTAAAGACAACATTCGTTGAGGTGAGCTCTGTAATATCTGATAACCTATGTTTTAAAAGTAAGAATCGGTGGAATAAAGCTACTCTACATTGGTCTAAAAATAGATCGTGAAATTCCAAATTGATACAAATAGTTTTGGAAAGCTATTTCACTTGCTACCGACTTCCACTCAGGTGAACGTATCATTAGGGAATATATAGTTGGGGAGGGGGGGGGGTACAGGGGACCCCTCTACAACTTTTTTCTGAACGTAAATTTTAACTTCTAATTTAGACTAAAATGTTAATTGTATACTAAAAATATTCATCGAAAGACTGGTCCCCCAATAATGGATCTTAATCTCCACCTCAAACCCCTGCCCAACCCTAATTCAAAATTTGAAGTTAAAAGAATTCTCTTTTCGTGGGGGGCTAATCAAAGATTTTTTTCAGCCCTTCGGGCTCTGTTAATATTGTACTCCTCAGGTTGACTTCAAAAACTGCAATAATTGTATAGTATATGAATGTGTTATCGTCTATATTAAGTTACATTGATGGAAGGGCCATGAAACAGTTGACCCTTCACACATCTACATACGGATCTAACTATACTTTAGAAGTAAATTGTGTTTACTGCTTCAAATCCCACCCCTGAATCATGAAAAATCTTATGCTTAAGTCAAAAATTGCATATTGCATTTCAATGATTTAGAAATCAAGCAGTCCAAAATAAAAATTCTTTTTCACTTTGCATCAATAAACTGCTGTTGCATGCAAACTTAAAGTTTCATGATCCCGGGGCCAAATATATGCAAATTTACCATTACATTCAAGAATAGTCAGATGCACGTTTTCATTAAAAGACAATATCTAAATAAATAATGTAATAGTATTTGGATCAAATATCAGTTAAAAATGTTATATGAATTGAAGTAGTTCTCATGCTTATTGAAATGATTCGATCTGATCGACAAAGAGATATTTCAAATTTGAATTAACTATTTATTCAGTAGATGCATTAGTAGCTATTTAAACGGAAATATCGTATGTCAGAATGGCTTTTAATAAATAAACATGGGCTCTATGGAAATGACATAAAGCTTTTTATTTACTGAGCATGTTACGACAATTGTTGTATGGACGAGTTTTTTTGAACGAGTTAATTTTTCAATATATCAAAGAGGAGATGATGCAATAAAAGCAACAGTATTATAATTAAGTATCTTCATTGAGCGTGTGCTGCCAGAAATCAGTATGAAAAATTTATTTTGTATAGAAATTGATAACTAAAAATCGCTTTGTGTTGGCTATTTGGAAATTATTGATACATATTTAATTATTTATGTCTCCACTTTATTTATTATTTAATATCAAATTTCGAGAAAGAAAAATATTCAGCGCAATATAATCAATGTATATAACGAAGGGGAAAAGAGAGAGGGTGACTCCTAACAACAAGGAGAAATGAAACCTTGTGGGGTTTTATCACAGGCACTTGTATCTAATGGATCAACAATTTATTACAGAAACAAGTGCCTGTGGGCTTTATGTAGACATTCATAATTGATTTTTAGGTGTTATATCTCGGGACGTCCAATAGCTTTGAGTTAATATTTTTTGTACTAATCTCTCCATCAAGTTTGTTGCGTTTTTCCTTCGGGTCAAATTCCTTAGCTGCAGAACTGTAGCTCTCTGGTTGAGAAAATTTGGACAGATAAACCAGAGAGAGCTACAGATCCAAGCGTTGTAAAAACCTTCGATTTACGCCGCCGCTTTTTTTTTGTCGCTCTCTATCTTTCCGAATTTTCTCAAGCAGAGAGCATTCAATTTTACATACACTAATAGCCTAACATTCATTCTTACAATACGATACACTAAATAACGTATCATTCATTCTTACAATACACTAAATAGCGTATCATTCATTCTTACAATACACTAAATAGCGTATCATTCAATCTTACAATGCATTAAATAATGTATCATCCAATCTTTAAATGCACTAAATAGCGTGTCGTTCAATCTTACAACACACTAAATAGCGTATTTTTCAATCTTACAACACACTTAATAGCGAATCATTCAATTTTCTCAATACACTAAATAGCGTATCATTCAATTTTCTCAATACACTAAATAGCGTATCATTCAATCTTACAACACACTAAATAGCATATCATTTAATCTTACAATTCACTAAACAGCGTATTATTTGATCTTTTAACACACTAAATAGCGCATCATCCAATCTTACAACACACTAAATAGCGTATCATTCAATCTTACAATTCACTAAATAGCGTATCATTTAGTCTTATCACTGGAGTAGTATAATGCCTATTCCCATGAGGGTCAAAAAAAGCTGGTAAGGTCAAAGTTACACTGATTCCTTGACCCAATTTTATACAATTCTATTTGAATTTTCGGTCTCAAACTTGCTGTTAAGGTGGAGTTGTCAAGAGAATTACCCTTATTCATTTTAGCTTCCAAAGGTCAGGGTCAAAGCTACTGTTACTAAAAACTTTCGAAAACTTGTTCTGGAGGTATTTATCCATTTCAACCCCCTCTCCCCCATGAACTCTCTCCAAGGCAGTATTAATCTGAGGAGCTAGCTACGCCACTGTAACGACAATAATAATGTGTATTGACAGAGAATAAGTGGAATTATATGACCAGATCGTGATTATCTGTAAGCAGTCAATGCTTGAAATGTTAATCACCAAATGTGGTAATGTGTGGGTGTTTTCTGAATTAATTGCTAAGCTTTTTGGACTTAGTTTTAATAGATATGAAATAAGAACCCAATAGTGTTTGATTTTTTTTAGGGGGGGGGGGGTTAATAAATCTGCTTTCCCAATATAATGGATATTCAGATCCGTATTTCACATCTGACAGTTTTTTTCGTAGTGAGGGGGCTAACCACAAATGGTAGGGGTGGGGCCTCTTGGCTAATGTGTCATAGATTTTTTCAAAATTGTGAAATTTCTTATTTGAAAATATCATAATGTAGAATCAGACATACCTTCCATTTATCTTGGTCCAATGAATGGAAATTTTGATACTGAATTGATTTTGTATGTGTATACAAGTTGTGATATGTGTATTACGAGGGTTTATTTCCCAGAAAAACGCGAACATTAACAATGTGTTTTCTTTTTTTTTTTTTTTTTTTTTTTTTTTTTTTGTTTTTTGTTTTTTGTTTTTTTGTTTCACTAATATTATAAAGTTGAAAATTGGCATGCACCAAAATCAACATTTTTAAATACAAAACGGCCATTTTAATGACATATCTCTATAAATAACAATTTTCCCTTGCTACACGGATCTTATAATAGCTGTCGGCACAACACCAACGAAACGCAGTCGGTAGCCCTCGTGAAATTGTTAAGGAATTGTGCTTCTTTTCTTTAGAATTTTAAAATTTCGTACTTATGAATAATTATTTATGTAAAAGTAATCAATATTGATATTTTTGTTGTCATCAGTCGGCATTAGTTTCGCGCTGAAAAATCTGTAAGTATGCTTAATTGTGAAAATGTATGTCTATATACTCTATATATGCTGTATTTTAAAAATCAGTCAACGACCTAAAAATAACATTAAAGATTCCATTTATTATTGTTAATCTGTACATTTTATTTACATAATATGCGGCGTTAAAACAAACAATGAAATTGCATTGATAATAAAACAAGTTATAATTATGGAATATTAAATATTGGTTTTGATCCATAATATCCTGATTCGACTTTATCTTTGATCTCTTTCCTCATTTGAAGTATTTCCGGTGCAAGTGGACCGGCTGGGAGAGGTTTTTTGTTGGCTCGGTAATCTTTTATTGGCGAAGATTTGAATTTTTCACCAACCGGAAGTGGTAGATATTGTGCGAGGTCTCCATATTGCCTGCGCAGAGAGGATGACGTATCGGTGACTCTGGATGAGCTTGACCTGTCACGTGTTGAGGGAAGTCTCGAAGCAGAGGTTCTCCGCCTTTCAAGGTTGTTCAAATCTACATGAAAATATCAATATTAAATGTTAAATTAAGTTTGCATTCAAATTTCTTGACATACATCTTACAAAAATCTACGTAGTCCATAGCTTTTGACAAATGATACATAATATGTTGACGGTGCGACCGTTGGGGCGAGCGCATTGTTCACTTCATTTTAAGATCCGCCTCTTCAAACCTCACGAGACATTTGGAACGTCTAGACTGTGACGTCACATGACGTATGTTAGCTGCATTTCCATAAACAAAGTTTAAAAAACTGCACATATTTTAACAAAGAACGTTTAATCTACTATCTGCATGCAATATCCATTAAATTAAGGTGAGTTTATTTTTTGTGAAATTTTAGTTGTTGTTACCGCGTGAATGAAGTTAGCAGCGAGAACAAGAAGCGATGCATTGTGGGTCAGAATTACTGCGGAAAAAAATTCTATTGAATGAATGTGCAGTAGTCCGAATTTTCTCTTCGCCCAGGCGTTGTCGTTAGAGCTCGCAGTGACGAGCGGCGCTTCGCGCCGCTCGCTGCGCTCGCTATTAGGCGTTTAAACTAAAGCAATAGGAATGTTCAATATGTGAGATCAGCATTACCTCGCATTAAAGAGTTTGCCATCCGTCTTCTCGATGAAGCGCCTTGAAGCTCATTCAAATCTGTTTAAGAAAAAAAACACATCAATTGTGATTAAAATTATCCATCAAAATGGTGTCACATTTTACTTGTGTTTCTTTTCTGTTTATATCTTTTTTGGATGTTATCTGTTAAGTCCTTTAAGCTTTGCAATGAAATTTAATTTGATTCAAATAAAAGTGACTGCTATCCAGGTCAGAAGGTCGAAATCCAGGTCAGAAATTCGTATGTTGCATAAAATGGTTTCCAAAAGATGACTTCAGTTTTCTTACATCTTTTCCAATCAAATTCTTTACCACGACTCCCAACCCCATGACTTCAAAAAGATCCCTATTGGTTTTGAGGTCAAAAGGTCAAAGACCAAGATCAGAATTTCATATACATGTATTGCATAAAAAGGTTTCTTAAAGATAACGTTACTTCTCGTTGAGGTTTTGAAATGAACTCTGTCTAAAGACACCATTATTGAATTGAAAGACTAAAAGTCAAGGTCACTTATTTCTCTCTCCATCTAAAATTTTTCATTCTCTCCTTAAGTCCGAATAAGCTTGTTTTTCTTAGTAGTAGTACATGGCCGTAGGAACCGAGGGGGGGGGGGCGTGCCCCCCAATAATTTTGCCCATATATAGAATACTAAAGAAAACATAGCTACATATACTATATGCTTGAGCCCCCTCAATAATAACGTCTGATGAACTTTCTTTTTTTTTTTTTTTGCTTGTAAAGGAATTTTGGTAGTGGATAGTGCCCTCCCCCCAACTGAAAATGTATAGTTGTGTCCCCTCATAGTGAAATTGCTTCCCACGGGCCTGTAGTAGTAGTAGTAGTAGTACGAATCAAACATAGATCTATTATCTGAGTTCGCTTAATATACAGTAATTATGGATATGATAAATTCCTATTGACGCAATGAGGATAATTTTACAGTCAGTAACTTAATGTAATATTTAAGGATGATACTAACCTGAATAAAACCGCGGTCTTTGATAGGGAACCCTGTAAGCAGACCAAATGCTGGATAAACTTTGCGGCCTGCTGCGTCTGTTGGATAGGACTCTATCATACATATTTGTGGACGTCCAACCACTCAAAGTTTTCCTAGACCCAGATGACTGGGAGGGGTATCTGTACCTTACACGCAGTCCGCTGACACATCCCGCTAATACCAACCTAAAATGGATAAGAAGCCACTATTTTTAGATTTCATGTTAAAACAATCGAATTATTTCATTTACTTTAGAAGTATTTAGTGTATATAATCCTATGCTTTAGGAGAACAGATAATTAGAAATTTAAAAAAGAAGTTTTGCTAAAGTGAAGCCATGCTTAAAGCTTAATGATATGGGAGTAACAAATCTTCACTTTAAAAAAAAAATTTTGAGTTTGAATGAATAATATGATTATTTAAATATATTGAAGCCATAGTGATATAATATGATTTTAAAATACATTTATTTTAAAATAAATTTATTTATATTATTGTAATTTATTTATATTATTGCATTTATTTCTTTAAAAATGAATTTAGGGAATTAAGATGAAACATGTTATTTCAGGTTTAATCAAGGAGGGAATAAAAGATAAAATAGACGACTCATTAGATATACGGAATACCATTTTCTTATTCATTTTTTTAATTGAGTTTTTGTCACAATTATTGTAGTACTAGTACTTAAAAGATCAGACTTGATAATGATCATGTATATTTTATGAATTTCGGAAGTCCGAAGCATTTTAATCCCCAGTCTTGCAAATAATATACTAGTGGTAACGAATTACATACCGTCAGACATTGCAGACTTTTCATGGAGGTACATTGTAGGTGTCTCTCATTGCAACAAAATTTACTAAAAGAACAGTCTATCGCATACGTTGCGAATTCCAACATGTAGTTTTAATGAAAAATTATTTAAGGTCAATTCCATCTCTCTCTCTCCCTCTCTCTCTCTCTCAAAGTAAAACCTGGTCTCGCTAAATAACTGCATATAAACTCAAATAATTTGGGCAAATGGTTAAAATGTTAAACCGCAGATGATTTTTTTTTTTTTGGTCATTTGATTCCAAATTTCAAAATGGCCTGTGCAGTATTTGTTCTCAAAATTATCTCATTTAAAAGAATTGTGCCATTGTTTAGTTATTGATTTTCTTTTCATCTCACTAAAAGCATTAACGAAATTCTGACCATCCAAACACACTATAGTATAAAATATTAAATGCATTTCCCTAATCAAACTTGAAATAATTGGCGAAAATCGTCGATTTGGGTAGTAAATATCTGTGTTATTATTGATCAGAACATACTTTTCGTGATCGCTCGAATGGAGATATTTTTCTTGATTGGAACATGTACAAAAAAATATGTCTGTATTTTGTAATTGAAGATTATTTTCAGTATCTTTTTTTCGCCATTTCTTTACAATCATTTTTTCAACGACCTCGACAAATCTTAAACAATATTATAACACTGCAAAGCCTCCCACTAATGGAGTTACCTTCATCAAGTAAAGTTGAATTAGTAGTAGTACTGTGTAACCATAGATTCAATGAAAACTCGGTAAAGGACAGACGGAAAAAAATAATAACTTTAAGAAGTACTTACACAAGACAAGTTAAAGTGTTAATCCGCATGGTGCTTTTAGAGTTTCAAGTCAAGTTTCATGAGTTATATGGGGGGTTGGGATAGATTGATGGATGACGACTCTGCCTAAATAATCCGTCAAGGTAGTACCGATGCGATTTTGAAAAACACCTCAGATCATTGTTAACTTTTTCCCTAAGGAAACGAGACCAGGCTCATCAAAATGTTTAAAATGTAAATGTTTAAAATGTAAAACTTTCAGATTAATATATTCTATTTTGATGGATCTGCATTGTTTACCGAATAATCCACAAACACGATTCTAGAAAAAAAATACTTATTGTAATTTGAATGATATAAATAAGGTCACAATTGCGTAGTTTATTTTCTGATTCATTGAAATACACTTTTCAAGGATATTTGAAGAATTAGAGCTTAAAACGCATCGTGTAATATCTAAGTCCGTTATGTCTGAATATTCTTTTTAAAAAGGGGGTTAAAAAACAATGCATCTTTAGATAATAATAAGAAAATTTAATTTGTAATTTATTTTAAGTACAAATTTAGCTAAGTTGGTTTAATTCGAACGAAAAAAAATAATTGATTGTGATAAATTTGTTCCGAAACACCGATATCCTTGAGTGGATGTCCCAGTTTTTATATTTAACCATGTCATTGACCGGTCTCATATCTCCTCCCGTTGGTAGTGTTATATGGTATATGTCCATAGAATTTTGTATCTTACTCTATCTCTATAGTTTTTACAGTAATCAATACTTTTGTCGCTTTTTGGGAAAAAAAAATATTCTGCCCAAGTATTATTTTTTTTTTCCTCCCAAATGAAATTAAATCCACCCAAATGAAATAATTATTTGCCAAAATGAAAAGTGCAGGTTCGTACTAAAGGTGTCCGTAATGATTGTACATGTCCGTCCAATAAGAACTTTTCTGCAGGTTATCTACTGGTCAGATTTCCTTATAAGATTAGTTTAAAGATAGAGAGGGGAAGGTATTGTAACATAGAAAGAAAAGAGAGAAAATGTGAAATATGTATATCAGATGAGATAGAGGACGAGTTTTACTTTGTATTAAAATGTCCTCGATATGAAGAACTAAGAATTAAATATATCAAGAGTTATTATATTAAAAAACCATCAGTATTTAAATTAGTACAGCTACTGAGTTCCACAAATACTAAAGAACTATGTAACCTAGGTAAATTTCTGTATTTTTCTTATCAATTAAGAAATGATGTTTTAAATAGTGTACAATAAGAAATGATAATACATTAAATGCTATTGTTTATGTAATTGCCACATGTAATGTATATTGTATAACATATACTACACTTATCCTGTGCAAAGCTTATGTATAAATATTTATGTACATAATTTGTATGCCTATGAGATGTAATGTCTCTGGTTCAAATAAAACATGAACATGAACAAAATAAAATTATTCGGTAATGTATTAAAATTATTCGGTAATGTATTAGTTATTGATAAAAGTACAAACAATTATGTACTCTAATCTGTACCACAATGCACTTGTACAGTTAATGTAAATTAATTATCTAATTATTCTTACTAATTACCAGTCTTACAGATCATTCACAGCCAACTGCCTTTTGCTACATTTTTTTGAAAATAGATAAATGGTGGTAGTACGGGATTTCCCCGTATGTTTTATAGAAAAAAAAATCAAACTGCTTTTTTCTCAATAATTGTTAAAAGTTGAATTTCAACGACTGTAATTAAAAATTTCAAAAGCTGGTTGAATTTACAAAATTGATAAAATGACGAGAGACCTTGATATGTTATAAGAATTTTTAATCATGACATTTATTTACGACTTAAGAGCTCTATTAAGCTTTGCTAATCATACTTAACTGCTATTAAACATATTACTAAATACAGTACGAATATTTAGATATTTTATCGTGCTGGGAATCACTGTACTTTGTAATTAAATCTACAAAATTGCAGTAACTTCAGCATTTTTATAGAGAATTAAAGATGCATATTTTACACACAGAAGATAGGTATTTAATTTTATATTTTCATATTAGAAATTTATTCATGGTCTGTTTTAATAAACAAGTGAGGCCAGAACACGACAAAATTAGAGAATTTTGCAGGGTAAAAGCTTATAAGCATGGAACACCTTCCCATATACGGGTCAGTAATTTCTTCAAATATTTTTTCCTGCACATCACTTTTCAGTCATGCAGGTAAAGGTTTATTTGGCACTGCTGAAAAAAAAATAATACGATCACAATGGCTTTTTTCTAATATATATGTTTTATCAAATTACTATGTTTGACGTTCGAAAAATTTTCCTCGGAAATTAACTCGAGTATGGTTATTCCTTAAGGACATTGGCAAGGTTCCTGGTTATTGTATAGAATTTTTCAACAACTTTTGAGTAGGTTTAAATGTACTAAACAGGCTATATTCTGGATCGTTTTACCTACCAATCCAACATTCTTTTTTAGATTTTGTCAAATTAGTGTTTTTACAATTCTTAATGCATTTCCTATGTAAAATGTTGATAAAAGGGACCTACATAATTTTTCACCATAATATTTCTTCAAAACCCATTAATTTCATACAGTTTTGTATTATATACATTATTGTATCTTCATTTCCTATGATTTCTAGATATTTTGGCTGAAAATGTATATATAGAAACAAGGCATGGATATACCGGCACCGATCATCATTTTGGAGTTGCGTCCCTTAACAGCTAAAATTGATCAAGAGACTGGTTGATTGTTTTTATCATGTAATTGACTGAATTGATTGAAACACTGTTGTCGTCATAAGAATATTGAAATGGATTCATTTTTAACTTTTATTCGTAGTTACTAAATGCTGATTCCTTCACACGACCTGAGAACTGTTCTCAGTCGACCTACCTTTTAGCATGTCACATCTTTGCCCTTCCCGGCATACTGAACATATATAACTATAGTAAATGACAACCTGTTGACTCTTTGTCCCTGAATACAATGTACAACAAAGCCAATACTATGGAACGCCATAGCTGCCTGAAGGTCATTTTCATTTTATATGAGGTGGTATAACCTTTATGTGAAGTGGTGAAGTCATTATATATAGTGGTAAAATCATTATATTCAATGAAAACTTTATTATATGCAGTGGTTTTATCTTTATATACAGTGATAAAATCATTATATACAGTGATAAAATCATTATTTTCATTGATAACTTTATTGTATGCAGTGGTTTTATCATTATATTCAGTGGCAATGTCATTATATGTAGTGGTTAAATAATGTAATGAAGTGATAATATCGATACATTATGTTGTAAAATCATTATATGCAGTGGTTCTTCCATTTTATACATTACTGATATCTTTCTGTGATGTGATGTATTCAATATATACAGTACAAACATAATTTGTGTGATAAAGCAATCATTACATTGTATGAAACCCGCTGCATGTGGAGTGCCAAGTTAATTTCATTCAGTGCGACACCTTTACATGAAGTGAAAAATCTATTATGTGCAGTACTAACATCATTATATTATATAGTAAAATTATTATATATATTCCTAAAATCATTCTCTGCAGTGGTAACATCTTTATATGAGGGGGTTAATTAATTATATGATGTTGTTAATTTGTTATATGATGTGGTCAATTCTTTTTATGCATTAGTCGTTTCATGTTATGCAGTGGTAACTTCTTTATCATCATCTAAACTGGTCCTCTTGCAAAAACATTTTTAGAAATACGCGGAGTTCCAGTTTAAAGAGTGTTTGAAAATAGGAAACCCGGGCCGTGGCAAAATAAAAGCCGGGACTATTCGAGATTTTTCAAATTTCTGATTTAAAATTTTTAGACTCTTTTATTAGGCTAATGTGTTTTCGCTGTAAAAATTATACTTGGTATTTTAGATTTTCTTTACGATTTTTGGTTTCAAGTAAAATTGGTAGGCAGTTTCAATTTTCTGATTTAATATTTTATCCATTGTGCTATAAGTACTTAGTATTTTAGATATTTTTTTTTGGCGATTGTTGATTTCCATGTTGGTAAAATGGGTAGACTGGGTTGGCGATATTTTATGTGTGTGTGTGTGTGTGTGTGTTTTTTTTTTTTTTTTTTTTTTTTTTTTTTTTTGGACATATTTGATAAAAATCTAATAAACTTAAAAATTATTCCGATGTTAAACACTGTATTTTAACTAAAAAAAATTTTTTCTTTTTGATAGTTATTTCTTTATTTGAAAATGCTATTTTTATGCAAAATACACATTTTCATTAAAAAAAGGATTATTAAACCAGATCCGATCATCCGGGAAGAACCTGGTGCAAAACACCATAAATCATTTCTTATTTCATAATATGCAAATGTGCACTGGTACATGTATCTATATGTTAGTAGATGGAAGGAAACTGGATTACGTTAAATATGTAATTTGTTTAATACTTTTTTCGGGGGGGGGAGGGGGTGTTAAATTACTAATATCAACTATTTATAAGACTGTTTCTAAGACTTCAGAAAACCTTAAATCACATTGAAATGCTTAAAATAAAAATTGCTGCATGAAAACATTTCATTTACAAGTTTCATCTTTGCCGTCGCCAGCGTGGCACGGTGATTAGAGTGTCTGCTCTAAGAGACGCGGAATAAGGAGTCAATCCTTACGTCACGGGTTCGAATCCGACAGTGGGACGTTGAGACCGGTCCTTCGTAAGAGACCGCATAAAGCCATAAACCGAGGTCCCGTTACACAGTAGGTGTTGGCACGAAAAAAATCCCTCACTGCTCAATGGCCGTAAGTGTCGAGTATAGGACAAAATTTGCAGCTCTCCACTGGCAAATTGTGGCGTCTCCATATGAGTGAAAAATTCTCGAGAGGGACGTTAAACAGCAAACAAACAACCAAATTAAAATCATTTTAGCCTTTTTGAATAAAATGATAAAATTAAGAGTTATCCTTCAAGGCTGAGGATCGGTATCCTTAAACCAAGCAACTTACGCGTGATTAAAGTTTGACACAAGGCTTTGCATTAATAGTCCTATAATTACATGTATATGTGATAATTCTTTAATTAATTTATATTTTATCAAATGGCATGTAGATAATGAATA